AGTAGCTGGGATTACGGGGGCCTGCCACAACGCCCAGCTATTTATTTGTTGCAATTTGGCCAGGGCTGGGTTTGAACCTACCACCTTTGGTATGTGGGGCCGGCGCCCTACCCAATGAGCCACAGACACCACCCCCAATGTACTCAATTTCTAATATGAAGGCAGTAGATGAACCAATACAAGGCAGGGTAGGGAAATGAGCAAGTGGAGAGAGGGGAGGAGAGGGGGATGAGGGGTCATGGTGTATGGCACACCTCTTGGGGCAGGACACAATTACAGGAGAGACTTTACCCAACAAATGCAGTAAGTGTAACCTAACTTTTTGTACCTCCAATGAATCCCAAACAATAATAATAAAAAAGTAGGGGCTTACAAAAATACTTTAAAATGTTAAAGAACTTGGCTTTTAAAAGTATGTTCAGGAAGAAAAGAATTTGTTTCTTGAGCTACATAATGTATTGTTAGATGGCAAGAAAATAGTTATCCAAATCTAGTTTCCATTTTCTCTTCAAATAATTTTTAAATAATAAACACTTAAAAAGGGACTGAAGTCTAAAACATCTGGTTTACTATTATAAGAATACCTAGCTAAATAAATTCAAGTCTCTTTACCAAGAAAAGTTGTTGCGTGTCTCTGAAGCACTTATGATAATGCCAGTACTGAGTGCCATGTAGTGATCCCTGTCTGTTACGTTGATTACTAGGAAAATACTAGAACAGACTTACAGGTGACTTGAAGAACGTAAGAGGTTTCTTTTTTTTTTTTTTTTTGAGACACTCATTTATGAATAGATTGTACTTTTAATCTTCCTACATTTGTCTTATTTACAAACACAGGCAAGTCTGTCAAATTTCTTGCCAAACATCTCTATGGAATTTCCTTCATCACTTGATCCTACAGATACTTTCAGTAAGGAAGTTTGGCACGTTTCACTGTTAGGAAAGCCACACTATTTTTCACTGATGAATATTAAACTTTTTAGGCCAGGCATGGTGGCACATGCCTGGAATCCTAGCACTCTGAAGACTGAAGTGGGTAAATTGCTTGAGCTTAGGAGTTCAGGACCAGCCTGAGCAAGAGTGAGACCTTGTCTCTAGTAAAAATAGAAAAACAAGCAGGTGTTGTGGTGGGTCCCTATAGTCTCAGCTACTTGGGAGGCTGAGGCAAGAGGATCATCATTTGGGCCCAGGGATTTGAGCCCCGTGAGCTATGAGGCACTCTACCCAGGGTGACAGAGACTCTGTCTCCCAAAAAAAAAAGGATGTGTGACGACTGGAAAGGATGTGTGATGTGTGACAGATGTGAGATCTGCCTCTCTCAAACTTTATGACAATGTCAATGTTGGCACATCACCCAGCTAATGGTGAAAAAAAAAAAGGAAAAAAACAGATCTTCCAGCCTGAGTCAAGTCTTCAGCTGACTACAGCCTTAGCCAGAACCACCAGCTAAGGCTCCCTCAAATTCCTGACTAATGAAAACTGTATGAAATGAATGACAAATGTTTAGTAAGCAAGGAAAAATTCAAGCTAGAGAGGTCTAAAGGACAGCCATAGAACTCTACAGTGTCTAAAATTTTCAGTAAAGACCCAGAAGATACATCTGCTGACTGGAGAAAGCATGACCAAAGAAGGAGCTAATCGTGGATAAGAGCTACAAAGCAGCCAAGGGGCTGAGCAGTGACCCAAAGCTAACAGGACGAGCTTAATAAACACAGACACATCTCCATGTTGGTTAGAATAAGCCTGCCCTTCGAGACACCTTTGAGGGAAACCACATGACACAGCTACACACACTTGTGTATAGTCAACTTCAGAACAGATGCCCTGTCTCCCTCTCCCTGAAACTAATGTAGTCATGTGTCACGTATGACATTTCAGTCAACAACTGACAGCATATGTCAGTGGTCCCCTAATATCATCAAACCACAATCTTACCGAACCTATTCTGTGTCTATACACACAGAGGCCACTGTGTCACAAGTGCCTACCACTTCTCCCCATCCTCCCTCCCACTCTCTCAGTGGGTCTGCAGACAAGGACAGTAAGCAACACCATCTAGGCCTGTGTGCATGCACATTATAACATCCCCACAACAGCAAGACTGCCGACAGCACACCTCAGAACACTGAATGCACCATCAGGAAGCAGCACATGACAGTGTGGTCTTACACTGATTTAACAAGTCTCAAATATTCAGAACCAAACTCTCTACCTCACACTACTCAGGCAGCATCAGAAATTAGTGTGAAGTTTTAGGACATACTGAGACAAATGACAAATGAATGTGTCTAGAAGAGAAATACAAGACAAAGCGTAGGGGCAGAAGACAGGGATGGGAAAGTCTCTGTCTAAAAACCCTATTATAGAAAGAAATGATGAGGTTGTTTAAGTGGGGAGGGATCTGAGTTCTGTCGAGAACAAAGAACAGTGAAAGGCAGTTGTAAGCAGCTGCATTCTGCTTAAAATACAAAACTTTCTAGAGGAGCCCAAAAGTAGGATAAGTTTAGCTAACTAAGCTTTTCATGTACATTACCTTTGTAAGGTGGATGTAACATCTTTTTTAGCGGTATAAAGTGCTACTTAAAACTCATATTCAACTTTTAAGTGTTTGCCTTGATTCCCAAACAAATTACTTCTCTGAAGATCTATAACTGAGTTAGATGTACAGTGCGTGTTTAATAAATGTCTTGAAACATCACCAAGGATATGAACATGCTCCCATATCATCTGAAGATAATTTTCTAAAAGCAAAAACATCTCTCCACCAAGCTAGAGAGTAACTATTAAAAAGGAACAGACTTCCTACTTCACGAGTTCTCTGAGCAGTCCTAGCTGCCTTCTCTTCCTCAGAGAACCACAGTGCATTTGTTAAAAGTAAGAGAACATATTCCAGTGTAGAGGTAAACTCCGACCTTCAGAAAGCCACTCACTAGCGTTTCCCTCCTCTTCTTTGGGTAAATGAATGATTGGGGTGGGTGTGGGTGTGTGGGGGTGTGTGTGTGTGTGTGTGTGTGCGTGTGTGTTGTGTATCAGGTAGGTACCTTAACACTAACTCAAAAATCAAATGAAGGGGCATTTTTTTGCCTTATTAAGACTTCTCCCCATCTTCCCTACCACCAGTAGCAGGAATGTGTGCCAAAGAGATAGAGCTGAGTTAGATGAAAACTAGATGGAGAAAATCTTGCCCAGGTTTATGAGAGGATGTCTAGAAGTTCTGAAGATATACACAGTTCTAGTCACACATTAGCTATTAACTAATCACAGTCTAGTAGCTTTGGACAAGTAACTATACCTCTTCTAAGTTCAATCTTATAACTCATAAAACAAGGGAGAGGAATATATTACATCTAAAGTACAGGCTCAAGCGGCTAAGGCGCCAGCCACATACACCAGAGCTGGCAGTCTGAATCCAGCCTGGGCCCGCCAAACGAAGACAACTGCAACCAAAAAATAGCCAGGCATTGTGGTGGGCACCTGTAGTCCCAGCTACTTGGGAGGCTGAGGCAAGAGACTCGCTTAAGCCCAGGAGTTGAAGGTTGCTGTGAGCTGTAATGCCATGGCACTCTACCCAGGGTGACAGCTTGAGGTTCTGTCTCAAAAAATAAATAAATAGATAAAAATAAAGTACCTTTCATCTCTAACACACATTATGCACACTCCCCTCAAAGGAACAGAACACCAGTATTGTCCTTGATAAAAGAAAAAAAGCATATCTAGATAGCAAAAGTTCTTTTAAGTAAAGAAAGGTAACCATCTGCATGATCAGTGTGTAAAACTTAAGGTTAAGTTGTCCGTTACAGTTACAGAATGCATTTTGTTTCTCACCACAATTTTTGTAGCTTGGGCTGGCTTCCACTGCACAAGTGTCACTCCACCACACAGCATAAAAACCGAAATCCACTGTAATTTGCTGAGTGTCCGGTTTAACATTAAAACAGTACATAAAGCAGTACAGGGAATCTTTAATTGGTAGGTCACCTAGACACAAAAAAATGAATAAATTTAGTAAATATTAACATGACACAAATATATTACTTCTGACATTATTAAAAGAATTATTGGGAACAATATTTGATAATGTGGTAAAGGGTCAATAAATCTTTTTACCATAAAAAATAATGTGCTTTTCATCATCACCAGCCCCACTCACCTGGTACACGGCTGCATCCAGGTTGCTGAGCGCCAGGAAGGCCATGTTGTTCTGCACGGCGTACACCAGCGACGGCACGCTCAGCTTCAGCAGGTCCTTGGGGCTCCCCAAGACATTTTCTCTTAAAGATGCCTTGAATCTACCCAGACTACCAGTTTCTCTTTGAAAATAAAAGGGGGTGATGGAAGGGTGATAAGGAAGAAAATCAAATAACATTCTTTGAATAAGATTCCTTCATATACAGGACAGGTATACTGGGTTAAGTCCAGTAATTTAGCAAACTTTTTTTTTTATTAATTCCCAAGTAATTTTAGATTTATTAAAAGAAATATACCAATGATATAGCCTCATAAAAAATTATAAATTCTATTTGGGAACATACAATAAAACAACTAGGTTTTCCACTATCACCCTCTGGTCAAAGCTCTAGTTGTATTTGAGTAAAATAATGAGATCAGAAAACCAGAATTGCTTATATTACCTACAAAAAATTAATTCCCCGCTACTTCAACTATATTGCATCAAGTTGACCCTAATTCCTTTTGTTATTTTTTCTTCTTTTTATTTTTTTTTGAGACAGAGTCTCACTTTATCGTCCTCAATAGAGTGCTATGGCATCATAGAACACAGCAACCTCAAACTCTTGGGCTCAAGGGATTCTCATGCCTCAGCCTCTCAAGGAGCTGGCACTACAGGTGCCCACCACAACTCCCAGCTATTTTTTAGAGTCGAAGTCTTGCTCTTGCTCAGGCTGGTCTCAAACTCCTGAGTTCAGGCAATCTACCTGCCTCAGCTTCCCAGAATCCTGGGTTATAGGCATAAGCCACTGTGCCAGGCCTCACTCTGATTACTTTTTAATGGGGTTGCAATGATTGCATCTATTTTTTACATTTTTAAAAATTATACTACGTTTAGTTATAAACCCCAAAAAGAAGTTACTTGGGTTAGAAAGAAAGTGATTCAGGTCAATATTATTTACAAGACTTCAGTGCTTATAAAATAAACAATAAATCTTTCTATAAGGATATTCTCCAAAAAACTTATTTCTATAATTCTGTGGGAAATATGAATAATTTACTAATCCCAACAAAAGTATACTCTGTGATGTCCATAAAGTTTACTGTTGATTGCATATTGATTACGTATGCTCTTAACTATTCTTATTTTTGATCAGGAAGAACTGGCTAATCTGGCTCATATTTCCCCAATTACAATCAGCTCACTTATTTCCTGAAAACAATGTTTTATAATAAGCACAATGTTTTATAATAAGCATCAGTACTCCTCCAAAAGTGCTTTATCAGAATGGTCCTACCTGCAACTCACAGTAGCCTATGAGAACCACAGCACTCTGCTGGTGAGAGAGCTCTGTTTGATGTTCACAGCCAACTCTTATATTGCTGGTTTAATATGTTGGAACCAACAGGTGTCAGGGGAATTTTTTCATATTTGAATACTATAAAAAAAGTGTCTAAGATGGAGTAAAGCCTATCATGTCAGATTGACTACCTTTGCCTACTGATTCATTGTAGAACACTCCATACTCTAGAAAATGTTTCATTAAGAAGACAGGAAATTTGACCTAGGCCACAGAAACAAAGACATCCTTCTTACAGATCTTTTTCTGTTACCAAATTCCAAAACTCTTTCATAATGTTAAATCTATATGCTGAAAGTAGTGCAATCTGGTTGGGAGACTACGAAACCTATCAGGAGAGGGACAGAACACCAGAAAAACTTCATACCTGAAAAGTCTAGGTATTAGAGTTTTCAGGTGTCTTAAGATAGGCTCAGTCAACTGACACTTGGCATTCTTTTCTTAACTGGTAACATAAATCTAGGATGTTCGACATATTTTCCTGACACCTTAAACAGACTATAAAGACATTTTAAGAATGTCTTCCCCTCAATTATAAAATTAAAGGAAAACAAATTAAAAAGAATCACCTTAACAAGGTGATGTTTAGAAAACATAACTTCTTAATCATCATAGTTATCACTAGTCAGTGTTAAACGCAGCACAGCTGTAAACTTTACACTGTTTGAAGTATAAGGTCCTGTTCCACCGTACTTTCAGTTGGTGCCCTTCTGAAATGCTGCCACACACACCCTAAACGAGCTACTGAGAGGCACATCTGTGACGATCCCTACACTCCACCTCCTCCCATGACCATTAATCTCCCATGTAAGGTTCTTCAAGCTGGGCTCGGCACCCGTAGCTCAGTGAGTAGGGCACCGGCCATATACACTGAGGCTGGAGGGTTCTAGCCCAGTCGGGGCCTGCTGAACAACAACTGCAACCAAATAAAAATAGCCGGGCGTTGTGGCAGGCGCCTGTAGTCCCAGCTACTTGGGAGGCTGAGGCAAGAAAATCACCTAAGCCCATGAGTTTTAGGTTGCTGTGAGCTATGACATCACAGCAATCTACCAAGGGCGACATAGTGAGACTTTATCTAAAAAAAAAAAAGTTCTTCAAGCTGAATTGAACCTTCAAAGCTACAGTATAATAGCTATTTATATTTCCCTTAATCCCCAGCTAGGCAATGACATTTACTTCCACCTCTTAAAGGTATTAAGCCTTCGTTAGTATGAAATGACATTTTTTTAGCTTTCTAGAGAAGAGAGTTGATCTCCTTGCCCTGTTATAATACGGGCTATGTAAGGATACTCGACTACACCTGGACCAGTAGTCAAGGCTGCTATGGTCCCTTCACTCCCTGTCACTTTTCTTTTCTCTCACCTCGTTTCCCTCGCTGTTTAGCTTTCAAATAAAAAGGCTTATGAAACAACAGTATAGTGTGTCAGGAGTGACCTTCAGGTCTGTGTCTCTTTTAGCCATCTCCTTTTTGTTGGATGCATAGGAGCTATTTCTCCACTGCCAGGAAAGCTTAGGTATCTTTTTTCTAGTTTCTAGAGGTAAGGTATACCAAAATTAGGTAAGCCAAGGTATATCAGACTGTTAACTCCTGGAAAGCTCAAAAGACACTGTAGTAACATGGAATTATAGCAAATATAATTACAAGAAAGATATTTTTAAATAAGTTACAAAAAACAACAAGGGATGCTAAAATAATTAGTAAATGGCTCAGCCTTGCACCTATAATCCTAGTACTCTGGGAGGGTGAAGCAGGAGGATCACTGGTACTCAAAACCAGCCTGAGCAAGAATGAACCCCATCTCTACTAAAAATAGAAAAACTAGTTGGGCGTTGTGTCAGGCACCTGCAGTCCCAGCTACTGGGGAAGCTGAGGGAGGAAGATCACTTGAGCCCACAAGTTTGAGGTTGCTGTGAGCTATGTATGATCATGCTATTAATGCTACTATACTCTAGACCAGGTGTCCTCAAACTATAGCTCACGAGCCACATGCAGCCCACCTAGGACATTTATCTGGCACACTGGGTGTTTTTGCCGCCATTGCCTGTCTTGCTTAGCAGCTGACTCATCCCGGGGCCGCAGTTGGGCCCTCCAACGGTCTGAGGGACAGTGAACCGGCCCCCTGTTTAAAAAGTTTGAGGACCCCGGAAGTGATTTTCTTGCTTCAGCTTCCCAAGTAGCTGGGACTTACAGGTGCCCATCACAAGGCTTGGCTATTTTTCTGTTGTAGCTGTCATTGTTGTTTAGCAGGCCTGGACCAGGTTCGAAACTGCCACCCCCCATATATGTGGCTATCACCCTTACCACTGAGGTACAGGCACCAAACCAAGGTACATGATTTTTACTTCCTTCTAAGACCCGGGACGCATTATAGCATTAAATACAAAAAAGTTGAGGCGGCGCCTGTGGCTCAGTGAGTAGGGCACCAGCCCCATATACCAAGGGTGGCAGATTCAAATCCAGCCCCAGCCAAACTGCAACCAAAAAATAGTCGGGCATTGTGGCAGGCACCTGTAGTCCCAGCTACTTGGGAGGCTGAAGCAAGAAAATTGCCTAAGCCCAGAAGTTAGAGGTTGCTGTGAGCTGTGATGCCACAGCATTCTGTGGAGGGCAATAAAGTGAGACTCTGTCTAAAAAAAAAAAAAAAAAAAAAAAAGGGTAGGGAAAATATAAGCCCAGAAAGAGCAATAAAGAGGTCTGGATAATCTTTAAAATACATATTTGGGGCAGAGCCTGTGGCTCAGTGAGTAGGGCGCCAGCCCCATATATGGAATGTGGTGGGTTCAAACCTGGCCCCAGCCGAACTGCAACCAAAAAATAGCTGGGCGCTATGACGGGCACCTCTAGTCCCAGCTACATGGGAGGCTAAGACAAGGGAATCTCTTAAGCCCAGGAGTTGGAGGTTGCTGTGAGCTATGTGACCCCACGGCACTCTACCAAGGGCAACAAAGTGAGACTCTGTCTCTACAAAGAAAAAAAATACATATTTGACAGCTACATATTTATTCTAGATGATACTTTGAAACATTAAAAGAATCTTCTCTAGTTTTAATAAGGACATGAAGTTCAAAGTTGAGATACATTTGGTTTGCTACTAAATACACCCAAAGTATGTAGACATTAATATTTACACATCCTGCTAGGGTTACTAGGTCTGTATAGATTGTGGTGAATAGCAAACAATAAAAAATTGACTTTGTCCTAAACAGGTCAGGGTCATGAAAGAAAAGAAAAAAAAATTGACTTTCTTCTTTTTTTTTTTCCACTTCCTCTGTCCACACCACAAATGGCAGATTTCAATCTAAACTGTTAGTATCAATAGCTGTGACAGGGTTTAGCAAAGCACATAGCATAGCTGACAAGCTATTTTCCAGTAAAATGCAGTAGTAATTAGTTTTATGGAAAAAATAAAGTATTTTTTAAAGTATCATTTTATGTTTCAAAATATAGTTTGGAAACTGGTAACTTAAAATTCAAATATTAAAAAAAAAAAATCTTGGGGGGCGGAGCCAAGATGGCAAACTGCAGCCAGCTTTTTACAGAAGCTCCCGACCAGAAGGAGGCTGAAAGGACAGAAGTTTAGCAAATTAGCTGATGGTTTGGAGCAGAGACAAGAGAGAAGATTGAAGAGTGCACTTCAACCTTCCTGAGGCAAGCTGCGACCCCAAAAATACAACCAAAAGGTACAAAATCTACCACCAAGCGGACAGGAGTCCCCTCCCCCACAACAAGGGCTCTCAGTTTACTCCATGCAAACAAGCGAGCAGAGTTCAAACTTCCTCCC